TCTAATTCTGTGAAGAATGATGGTGGCATTTTGATGGGAATTGCATTGAATTTGTAGATTGCTTTTGGCAGTAGTCATTTTCACAATGTTGATTCTACCCATCCATGAGTATGGGCTGTGTTTCCATTTGTTTGTGTCATCTGTGCTTTCTTTAGCAGTGTTTCGTAGCTTTCCTTGCAGAGGTCTTCTGCCTCCTTGGTTAGGTATATTCCTAAATATTTTATTTTTTGCAGCTATTGTAAAGTGGGCTGAGTTCTTGATTTGATTCTCGGCTTGGTCGCTGTTGTATAGAAGAGCTACTGATTTGTGTACATTAATCTTGTATCTGGAAACTTTGCTGAATTCTTTTATCAGTTGTAGGAGATTTGTGGAAGAGTCTGTAGGATTTTCTAGGTAAACAATCATATCATCAGCAACAGTGACAGTTTAACTTCCTCTTTACCAATTTAGATGCCCTTTATTTCTTTCTGTTGTCTGATTGCTCTGGCTAGGACTTCCAGTACTATATTGAAGAAGAATGGTGAGACTGGGCATCCTTTTCCTGTGCCAGTTCTCAGAGAGAATGCTTTCAACTTTTCCCCATTCAGTATTATGTTGGCTGTGAGTTTGTCATAGGTGTCTTTTGTTACATTAAGATATGTCCCTTGTATGTGGACTTTGCTGAGAGTTTTTTTTTTTTTCTTTTTTTTTTTTGAGACATAGTTTCACTCTTGTTACCCAGGCTGGAGTGCAGTGGTGTGATCTCGGCTCACCACAACTTCCGCCTCTGAGTTCAATAAATTCTCCTACCTCAGCCTCCCGAGTAACTGGGACTACAGGCGTGTGCCACCATGCCCAGCTAATTTTTGTATTTTTAGTAGAGATGGGGTTTTACCTTGTTAACCAGGATGGTCTTGATCTCTTGACCTCGTGATCCACCCGCCTCGGCCTCCCAAAGTGCTGGGATTATAGGCATGAGCCAACATGCCCAGCCTGAGAATTTTAATCACAGAGGGATACTGGATTTTGTTGAATGCTTTTTCTGCATCTATTGCGATGATCATGTGATTTTTGTTTCTAATTCTGTTTATGTGATGTATCACATTTATTGCATATGTTAAACCATGCCTGCATCCCTGGTATGAAACTCACTTGATCATGGTGTATTATCTTTTTGATATGTTGCTGGATTCAGTTAGCTAGCATTTTGTTAAGGATTTTAGCATCTACGTTCATCAGGGATGCTGGTCTATAGTTTCCTTTTTTGGTTATGTCCTTTTCTGGTTTTGGTATTAGGGTGATACTGGCTTCATAGAATGTTTTAGGGAGGGTTCCTTCTTTTTCTATCTGCTGGAATAGGGTCGATAGGATTGATATCAATCCTTCTTTGAATGGTAGGATTCTGCTGTGAATCTTTCTGGGCCTGGACTTTTTTTTGTTGGTAATTTTTTTTTTTTTTTTTTTTTTTTTTAGATGAAGTTTTGCTCTGTCTCCCAGGCTGGAGTGCAATGGCATGATCTCGGCTCACTGCAACCTCTGCCTCCCAGGTTCGTGATTCTCCTGCCTCAGCCTCCTGAGTAGCTAGAATTACAGGCGCCTGCCACCATGCCTGGCGAATTTTTTGTATTTTTAGTAGAGAGAGGGTTTCACCGTGCTGGCCAGACTGGTCTCGACCTCCTGACCTCAAGTGATCAGCCTGCCTTGGCCTCCCAAAGTGTTGAGATTACAGGTGTGAGCCACTGCACTTGGTTGAGATAGTGGGTTTCTGTTGTGTATGGCACCCAGTGTGTGGTACTTTGTTTTGCGAGCCCGAGCAGAAGTAAGTCCTTCCTGCCTTCAAGGAGTGGTTCCAAGGTGCCCCACTGGAGAACCATTCTCTGTTGAGCCAGCTGCAGTGATCAGACGGTACGTCCTTGGGGCAGGAATCAGGGATATTCCTCACTACATCCTTCACACACTAGCCTAGAATGGGCTCCGAGGAAATTTTATTCCAACAATGTGTACTGAAAGAATGACCACAGGTGACCTGCAGTTCTCCAAGGCCCCTAACCTCTTTCCTGGAAAACTGTAAGACACTTGACTCCCCCGGGGGGTTGGTGGGAGAGTTCATATGGCTCACGAAGATCAAAAGAAGCAAGCCTGGAAGCTTTGTACCAAGTTTTAGTAGCTGAAAGGGATTATAACTTGGGTCTCAACAATGCTGTTATTTTTTTTTTTTTTTTTTTTGAGACGGAGTTTCGCTCTTGTTACCCAGGCTGGAGTGCAATGGCGCGATCTCGGCTCACCGCAACCTCCGCCTCCTGGGTTCAGGCAATTCTCCTGCCTCAGCCTCCTGAGTAGCTGGGATTACAGGCACGTGCCACCATGCCCAGCTAATTTTTGTATTTTTAGTAGAGACGGGGTTTCACTATGTTGACCAGAATGGTCTCGAACTCTTGACCTCGTGATCCACCCGCCTCGGCCTCCCAAAGTGCTGGGATTACAGGCTTGAGCCACCGCGCCCGGCCCCAATGCTGTTATTTAAAAGCTGAAGGATGAGTAGTTGTATTGCCTTTTTTTTTTTTTTTTTTAACTTTTCTCTCAAAACTATCCACCTTCTAAGGGGGTTTAACACCGGCAAGGGCTACATAGGAATGAAGGAGGTGGTAACACCTGCCAGGGCTACACAGGGGTGTGGCACACAGGGAGAGTCACATTAACAAAGGGCTTCATAGTCAGCTTCTGGTACTGTTGCCTAATGACGTTATGCAGGCATTCGCTGGGTCTTGTATGTGTGTTAGGAGAGTTATCTCATTAAATATAAAGTCTTCGAATAGTATGCAGTCTATTTTAACCTTCTTTGCCATTAATTAATTTTTGTTTTTAAAATTAGGGAGGCTCAAGAAATAAGAGTGGTCAGGGCCTGTCCTCAGCCTTTAGAGGGTCTGAAACTCCCAAACAGACCTTGACCCAGTGGTTTTTCTGCAATGCTGGGTTAGCTGCACTGTGAGATGCTAGACGCTCCTTTGTTCTTTTACCACTTTATGGTAAAAGATGCTGAGATGCCAAGTTAGGACTGGTGACCCAGCGTTCCTCTCCCCTTTAAGGTCATCTAGCCCAGTGCAGGGCCACCTGTCCTGAGATGCTGATTATACTTATCTTCACAGGAATCCCAACTCATTCCCATGGAAGAATTTTTGGCTGAAAATATTTCCAAATGGTAACTATGTTATGGACTGGATGTTTGTGTCACCCTAAAATTCATATGCTGAAACCCTAAATCCTGATGTGATGGAATCAGGAAGTGCAGGCCTTTGGGAGATAATTAGGTCATAAGTGTGAAACCCCCATGAATGCGATTTGTATTCTTAAAGGAAAATATCTTGGGCCCCTGAAACCACTAAGGAAAACTCAAATTGGAAACTGTTTAGCGCAAACATACCTCCCGTTCTATCCAAAGTCACTCCTGTGCTCACCCAAATAGATGCTTATCTGATTTCCCTCCTTTGGAAAGGCTAAGCAGATACTCAGAATAATCTAACAGTTTGTGTATTCCCTATCTGTGACCTGGAAGCTCCCTCCCTGCTTTGAGTCTTCCAGCCTTTGCATCAAGTTGTCCCACCTTTCCAGACTGAATATATTAATTGATGTCTCACATCTTCCTAAACGTATAAAACCAAGCTGCGCTTGACCTCCGTGAGCACATGTCGCCACGACTTCCTGAGGCTGTGCCTCGGTTGCGTCCTCAACCTTGGCAAAATAAACTTTCTAAATTCACTGAAATCTGTCTCAGATTTCCTGGGTTCACAGTACTTTTAGAAAAGAGACCGCAGGAAGCTATCTAGTCTTCTTCCCACTGGAAAAGAAGGGCCGTCTGTGAAGCAGCCCTTCCCAGACACTGAATCTTCCAGGGCCTTGATCTTGGACTTCTCAGCCTCCGGAATGGTGGGGAATAAAGGTTTGCTATTTAAGCCACTCACTTTGTTGTATTCTATTCTAGCAGCCCAAGCTGACTCAGACACTGTCAAAACCAAATGATAACCTCGCCTGGTTCTTTTTTTTCCTTTTAGTAGATTTTCCAAAAATCTAGCTCTGCCCAGTGGAAAGGCTATATTAATATCAGATAACGGAGACAGTCTGATCAATTTCCTTACTTTATAGTTTCACTTGACATTCTAGATCATAAGAATTTGTAATTTGCTAATTCAATGAGATTTCACGGAGGAGTTATAAGGATAATTTCCAAGACAGAAAAAGACCATAGAAAAAAAGATTAATATTGAAGAAGAGAAAGCCAAAGGGTGACAAGCTTCATTACAAGGGCCAGTTGCCCTCTGCCAAGCTTATGGTAGAGAAAAACATGAAACGGACTAAAATAGAACAACACAAATTTATATTAGCCTTCCATAAGCAGTTTCCCAAAGACTGTGTTCATGACCATGTGGTGAAAATCTTACATCATCTCTTTAGAATTTCAAAATGGTAAAGCTGGGGTAGAATTTAGGATCCTGTGAATGAAAAGTTCTCATTTTGCAGAAGAGGATTCTGAGAGCCAGGTGTGAGTGGAAGTGTCAGGAATAGAATCCGGGTCCCTAACACTTAGCTGCCATCTTTAATACTTAGCTTCTTATTTAGTTTAACCCAGTTCAGAGGTTATAGAGTTGTTGATTTCTTAAAATTCCTTCTGGATTACACAGTTGCTGATCCTAAGTAACAGTCATAGGATGGAAGTCTGTGAGCTGAACTGATCAGATCCCACAGGCTCTTCATTGCAGAGATTACTCCCAAACCAGCTGAGGCGCCATGACTATTTTTGGGGGGAGGGGAATGTTGAACATGTCAAGGATGAATTCCTCTAATGGCAAAGCCATTTGGTGTTTGGTTTACATGAAAGTCACAAGACACTGAGTGTTCTTTTTACTCCACTTGCATTTTTCCACGTTTGATGCAACTACTTAGTAGTGGAACACACAGCTCCTGAAAGGAGGAAGTGACTTAGAAGATGAGGGAAGTGGAAGGAATAGTTGAAACAACAAAAATACCTTTGTTATTCTTTTTCTTCCCTGAAGTAGCTTTCACTGTTACAGCTTCAGACGATTTTGTAATCTGGTTCATAGTTGAACTTCCTCTGTTTGGCTGGTTGGAAAAAAAAAAAAAAAGATTTTTTTTTAAAAAAGCAGCCTGTTCAAAGTCAAATGAAAGGGTTTCTGACACACCTTGATGCTGGTTGTGGCCTTTATTTTATGTTCACTTTACCCAGAGATATTTATCACCAAAGAGAATGATCTGACCTCTTGTCAAGATCACATTCACTTCAGTTCAGTCCTGTGGTTTTGTGTTTTTTTGAGATGAAGTCTTGCTCATCACCCAGGCTGGAGTGCAATGGTGCCATCTCTGCTCACTGCAACCTCTGCCTTCTGGTTTCAAGTGATCTTCCCACCTCAGCCTCCTGAGTAGCTGGGATTACACGTGTGCATTACCCCACCTAGTTAAGTTTTTGTATTTTTAGTGGAGACGGGCTTTCACCATGTTGGCCAGGCTGGTCTTAAACTCCTGACCTCAAGCGATCTGCCTGCCTTGGCCTCCCGAAGTGCCGGGATTACAGGTGTGAGCCACTCACAGCCAGCTCGGTCCTGTGGCTTTTGTGTTTCTTTCCTTAAAGTTTCAGGATGAACATGCAACCAATTAAAGCCCAGAAACCATCCTGCCAGCCTTGTGTTACTTCTGCTTTACATTCCAAAGCTGCCCTCTTTAAAAGTGACTCCAAAGCCCTGGAATTAATAAAAATGTAGCAGGGAGGAATACTTTGTTGGCATGTTTAAAGCAACATATTATAATATATCACTCTGGAGTCATTCTAGACTCTTCCTTTCCCTTGTACCCTACATCCAATCCGTTAGGAAGCAGAATAATGCAGAGTCTGACTGCTTCTCATTGCCTTCCCTGCTAATGCCTTCATCTCACCTGGGTAGACAGCTCTCTCCTAGAGAACAATGGTCACCCAACAGGCCTCCCTGCCCACCCTTACCCTTTCCTGCCCACAAGAAGAAAAGGGAATAATGTAAAAATGAACATTGTGCTTAGATTTCGATTCTACTTATTCTGCAAGATCTTGTATTAAAAAGTATTTTAGGCTGAGCACGGCGGCTTAAGGCTGTAATACCAGCACTTTGGGAGACTGAGATGGGCGGATCACTTGAGGTCACGAGTTCAAGACCAGCCAGCCCAACATGGCAAAAGCCTGTCTCCACTAAAAAACATAAAAATTACCCTGGCGTGACGGCGCATGCCTATAATCCCAGCTACTCGGGAGGCTGAGGCAGGAGAATCACTTGAATCTGGGAGGTGGAGGTTGCAGTAAGCTGAGATTGCCCCACTGCACTCCAGCTTGGGTGACAAAATGAAACTCTGTCTCAAAAAAACAGATAAAGAAAAAAAAATAAATTTGTATTTATACACCATAACAAGTAATTAAGATTAAGAAAACAAACTTGGGTTTGATCCAAGATGGCCGATTAGGAGCAGCTCATGATTGCAGCTCCCAGTGAAAGTGCAGAGGGTGAGTGGATACCTCATTTCCAGACAGATTTTCATTGCCCACAGACCAGGAGATTCCCAGGCGGAGGAGCCCCACGGGTAGCCAGTGTGTCTGGTTTGGCCAGCAAGGCTGCTTTGCAGGCGCCCCGGGGCGGTGGTTTTCCATACAAAATACATGGGTCTGGGCACCATTTTAGCTGGTGATTGGAGCTCTGGGAAGACAGAGTCACCCATTCATCTGATTAAAAAGGGGACTGAAACAGGGAGCCAGGCCAGGAGATTCCTGGGCAAAAAAGCACCATGAATCTCAGTGCTGCTGTTTCAGCCAGTGCAGTGGGTCACCGCATGGGAATTCACAGATCCCGGCACCTTTTCAACAGGTGACTGGAACACCTGGGAGAGAGTCAAACGTTCAACTAAAAAAAAGGCTCTGAGGCAGAGAGCCTGGTGATCAGGCTTGGCTGGTCCCATCCCCACAAAAAAAACAGCAACTGGAAATGCTCTGGGTTGAGAGTTTCACAGCAAGCACAGCTGAACCCGGGAAGGTCCAGCTCTATGGAGGAGGGGCGTCCGCCATTACTGAGACACTCCACCACTAGGGAGGTAATCCACCATTGCTGAGGCAGCCCACCATTGCTGAGGCAACCAGCCACTACAGAGAGAGTCCACCATTCCAGAGGTGGGCCAGCTTTGCCGAGGCAGTTCTAACTACACCTGTATAAACAGGACTGCAGGGAAGTTGACACAGCAGCTGGGCAGAGCCCACAGCAGCTCAGCAAAGCCTATGCAGACAGACAGTGACTAGGCTGCCTCCTCACTGGGCAGGGCAGCCCTGATAAAAAGGCAGCAGCACAATGAAAACTCATAAATAAAGCCCTGACTGCCTGGGACAGAGCACCTGCAAAAAAAAAGGGGGGGTTTATGAGTTCTGCTGCAGCAGACTTAAATGTACCTGCCCAGCAGCTCTAAATGAACAACGGAGCTCACAGCTCAGCACTTGAGCTCATATAAAGCACAGACTGTCTCCTCAAGCAGCTCCCTGATGCCCGTATATCCAGAGTCACCTCATAAAGGAGAGCTCAGACTGACATTTGGCGGGTATCCTTCTGGGACAAATATAACAGAAGAATAAACTGGCAGCAACCCTTACTGTTCTGCAGCTGCTGCAAGTGATCCCCAGGCAAGCAGGGCCTGGAGTGGACCTCAGTAGTCCTACAGCAGAGGTGCCAGACTGTTAGAAGGAAAACTTAAGAAACAGAAGGAAATAACTTCATCATCAACAAACTGGACGTCACTCAGAGACCCAATCTCAAGGTCAACAACTACAAAGATGACAGGTGGATAAATCCACAAAGATGGGAAGAAACCAGCACAAAAAAGTTGAAAGCACCCGAAACCAGAACGCTTCTCCTCCTACGAGGGATCACAACTCCTCACCAGCAAGGAGAACAAGGCTGGATGGAGAATGAGTGTGATGAATTGACAGAATCAGGTTTCAGAAGGTGGGTAATAAGAAACTTCTGTGAGCTAAAAGAACATGTTCTAACCCAATGCAAAGAAACTAAGAACGTTCAAAAAAGATTTGATGAAATGCTAACAAGAACTGGACAACCTAGAGAGGAATATAAGTGAATTGATGGAGCTGAAAAACACAACACGAGAACTTCGCGAAGCATGCACAAGTTTCAACAGCTGAATTGACCAAACAGAAGAAAGGCTATCAGAGGTCAAAGATCAACTCAATGAAATAAAATGAGAAGGCAAGATTAGAAAAAAAAAGGGTAGAAAGGAATGAACAAAGTCTCCATGAAATATGGGATTATGTGAAAAGACCTAATCTATGTTTGATAGGTGTACCTGAATGTGATGGAGAGAATGAATCCAAGCTGGGAAATACTCTTCAGGATATCATCCAGGAAAACTTCCCCAATCTAGCAAGGCAGGCCAATATTCAAGTCCAGGAAATACAGAGAACCCCACAAAGATATTCCTCAAGAAGAGCAACCCCAAGGCACATAATCATCAGATTCACCAGGGTTGAAATGAAGGAGAAAATGCTAAGGGCAGGCAGAGAGAAAGGTCAGGTTATCCACAAAGGGAAGCCCATCAGACTCACAGCAGATCTCTCAGCAGAAACCCTATAAGCCAGAAGAGAGTGCGGGCCAATACTCAACATCCTTAAAGAAAAGAACTTTCAACCCAGAATTTCATATCCAGCCAAACTAAGCTTCATAAGTGAAGGGAAAATAAAATCCTTTGCGAACAAGCAAGTACTCAGAGATTTCATCACCACCAGGCCTGATTTACAAGAGCTCCTGAAGGAGGCACTAAACATAGAAACGAACAACCAGTACCAGCCACTCCAAAAATAAACCAAATGGTAAAGGGCATCAACATAATGAAGAAACTGCATCAACTAATGGGCAAAACAGCCAGCTAGCATCAAAATGGCAGTATAAAATTCACACATAACAATATTAACCCTAAATGCTAATGGGCTAAATACCCCAATCAAAAGACACAGACTGGCAAATTGGATAAAAAGCCAAAACCCATCAGCGTGCTGTATCCAGGAAACCCATCTCACATGCAAGAATACCCAAAGGCTTAAAATAAGGGGATGGAGGAAGATTTACCAAGCAAATGGAGAGCAAAAAAAAAAGCACGGGTTGCAATTCTCGGCTCTGATAAAATAGACTTTAAAGCAACAAAGATCAAAAGAGACAAAGAAGGATATTACATAATGGTAAGAGGATCAATGCAACAAGAAGAGCTAACGATACTAAATATATACACACGCAATACAGGAGCACCCAGATACATAAGGCAAGTTCTTAATGACTTACAAAGAGACTTAGATTCCTACACAATAATAGTGGGAGATTTTAACACCCCATTGTCCATATTAAACAGATCAATGAGACAGAAAATTAACAACGATATCCAGGACTTGAACTCAGACCTGGACTAAGAAAACCTAATAGGCATTTACAGAACTCTCCACCCCAAATCCACAGAATATACATTCTTCTCAGTACCACGTTGCACCTACTCTAAAATTGAACACATAATTGGAAGTAAATCACTCCTCAGAAAATGTAAAAGAACGGAAATCGTAACAAACAGTCTCTCAGACCACAGTGCAATCAAGTTAGAACTGAGGATTCAGAAACTAACTCAGAACTGCACAGCTTCATGGAAACTCAACAACTGGCTCTTGAATGTTGACTGGATAAACAATGAAATGAAGGCAGAAATAAAGATGTTCTTCATAACCAACGAGAACAAAGACACAACATACCAGAATCTCCGGGACACATTTAAAGTGTCTCTAGAGGAAAATATATAGCAATAAATGCCCACATGAGAAGCAAAGAGAGATCTAAAATTGACACCCTATCATCAAAATTGAAAGGGCTAGAGGAGTAAGATCAAAAAAAGCTCAAAACCTAGCAGAAGACAAGAAATAACTAAGATCAGAGCAGAACTGAAGGAGATAGAGACACAAAAAAACCCTTCAAAAAATGAAAAAATCCAGGAGCTGGTTTTTCAAAAAGATCAACAAAATAGACAGACCATTAGCCAGATTAATAAAAAAG